TGGTTAATGAACACAAATGCAAAAATCCTAAATAAAATAACTGAAACTGAATTCAACAACACATTAAAAAGATCATACACTGGGGCTGGAGAGATGGCTCAGCACTTAAGAGCACTGGCTGCTTTTGCAGGGTTCCTGAGTTCAGTTCCCAGCACCCACATGACAGCTCACAACCATTTGTAACCCCAGTTCCAGGGGATATGATGCCCTCTTTGCTGCATTCCAGAGGTACAATAAACATAATCTAGCACATAAAAATAATCAAGAATTAAAAGTCATATGAACATCTAAATAAACGTAGAAAAAACTTGAGAAATTTAAACACCCTTTCATGAAAAAAAAAAAGACATGAAAGAAACTAGGTATATAGAAGTATTATACATGAACATAAGAAAGGCTGCATAGCCAACATACTGAATGGGGAAAAACTGAAAACATTTCCTCTAAAATCAGGAACAAGATGAGGGTGTCCACTCTCACCATTATTTTTTCATATACAGGTTCTCCCTGTAGCCCCAGCTGGCCTGGAATCAGGCTGGCCTTCCTCTCACAGAGATTGCTTACCTCTGGTTCCTGGGTGCTGGGATTAAAGGCATGTGCCACCATGGGTGGCTTGATCTCACCAATTTTATTCAATATGATACTTGAAATTTTAGCTAGAACAAAAGAAAGGGAGAGAGAAACTGGAAAGGAAAAAGTCAAATTCTCCCTGTTTATAGACGATATGATCCTATTCTTCAAAAAATACTAAAGACTCTCCCAGAATAATCTTAGATGCTCGTATCTTTAAGCAAGTCCAACAAAGGAGCAGGAAAAAATCAATTATAAAAGTAAGGAGCTTTTCTATATACTAAGAATGACCTCACTAAGAAATCAGGAAAATAATCCCATTCACAATGGCCTCAAGAAAAGAAAATACCCAAGAATAAATTTAACCATGGAGGTGAAAGACCCTTACAAATGGAAATTACAAAAAACTGAAGAAAGAAATTGAAGATGACATTGGGAGGTAGAAAGACCCCTCTTGTTCATGGATTAGCAGAATTAATATTGTTAAAATGCCTAAATTAGCTGGAGCAATCTACGAATTCAATGCAAGTCCTGTATCAGTAACATTCTTCACAGAACTAAAAATTGGACTAGAGATGATCATGATGGGTAAAAGAAACCAGATTCAGAAAGACAATTGTTTCTATCTAAAAATAAGACTCTAAAAATAAGACATGACAGTAGAGATTATTAGAGAAGAGGAAGGATACCAAGGGAAAGAGAAAGAAATGAAAGGGTGGACATGATCAAATTATGTTATATGCATGTATATATTGTATTCATGCTCAGATGCCGAGGAGCTCAGAAGGTGGGCGACTGTGACCAGTGATAGTCATGTATATAGAGATTAGAAATGCATGTGAAAACGTCTCAATGTCAATTGCTTTGGAATGAATTCTTCTGTATGAAAAAAAAAAGTTGTGCTGTAAAGTATTCCTTGAGAAATGTTTACAATTCTATGAGAATGTAAATAGTTTCACAGTAATTGTTTTTCAGTTAGAATATTCTAACTTAATTGCAGCGCAGTCTCTTTAATTTCTTGTTCATTAATTTTTAACTAACTTCATAAAAGAATAAGAATAAAAAAAAAACAAAAAACAAAAAAACAAAAAAAACTGAGATAATGAAGTCCATTACTTTTTATAATGAGTATGTGCTATTAATAAAAGAGAGGCAGCAACGGACATCCTATAGGACAATTTAACAATAAGGGAATATTATAGTAAGCTTGTTAATAAACTTGGAAACTTATGAAAAGGACAAACTCAAATTCAAAAGTTCCACAAACACTGTTGACGATCCCTAAAACCACCCTGAGGATTAATTAGTGGTTTCTCAGGACTCACAGGTTGGCATGGTCATACCCCAAACTAAAATTTATTACAATGAAAGAATACAAAGTGAAACAGGCAAAGGAAAAGTAAAATCTGGAGAAAACCAGGTAAAAGCTTCCATGAATCATCTAGTGAAGTTAAAAAGGGGATGGTAATTCATGCAGTACAGAATTGTGAAATGTGAATTGATAAGGAATTACCAGGAGAGCTCATTAGACAGTGTGTTAAGATATTTTGGAGAGGCTGGTTATGCAGCATTCTGTCTAGTATCTACTAAAACTTCAGTCTTCTAGACACAGAATAGTATCCAGAATAACCCATCCTTTTCACACCCATAGTTTGAGCACTAAGTCATTCTTATCAGTTAGAAGTGATGAAATCTCTTCCCCACATCAAGTTTCCAGGCATCAACCAAGTGCCAACCTTACAAGAAGGCCTTTCAAAGAACAGCATTCAAAGGCCTTCTATGGTAATTCTTTTCTTCACACTACAAGAAACTGAAAATCTGCAGAGGCCTACAAATAAATAGTGAATTTGTTATTAAAAATATTACCACAAAGAAAAGGCCCAAACAACTTTTTGGTGAACCTAACAATAAAGAAATAATACCAATTTGACAAACTGTGCTAGGAAATACAGGAAGGAGCATCACATTCCACATCAGTGTATAAGGTGATCAATATTACTCTTCATACAAAAATCAAGCAGAAAATACAAAGAAAAAACTAAAACAACCCAATAAAAAGATGGGCAATAGACCTAAACAGAGAGTTCTTAAAGGAAGAAATAAAAATGGCTAAGAAGCACCTTAAAAAGTGCTCTGAGTTTTGTTATTTCCTCTTGCCTACTAGGTTTGGGGTTGGTTTGTTCTTGCCTTTCCAGAGTCTTGAGTTGTACTGTCAACTCGTTTACATGTGCTCTTTCCGATTTTTTAATGTAGGCACTAAGAGCTATAAACTTCCCTCTTAGGACTGTTTTAAGGGTGCCCTGGAGGTTTTGTTGTGTTCTTGTTTTCATTTTGTTCCAGGAATACTTATTTCTTTCTTAATTTCTTCTTTGACCCATTCATGATTCAGGAGTGTTTTGCTTAATCTCCCCCTGAGTTTGTATATTTACTTCTTTTTCTGTTGATTATAAGCTTTATTGCTTCCAGGCCACTGAAGGCCTGCTCATGTGACCTGTGACAGCAGTGGCATGGAGCACAGGACCCACATCAGCTCAATTAAACAAGGGCCTAAAGGGGAGGCGAGAAATAGGTGGCATGTCAGCACTAGATTGAGAACTATTTAAGTCTGATTGCTGCCTGGTGAGGCAGAGTATGATTTACATATGACTACTGGATGGGCTGATCAGACTCCAATGGATGCATTTATACTGAAGGACAGTTGGGTACAAACACCTGAATGAACAGGACTCAACATGTATGGCAGAGTGCATAGGGTTCAGTGGGGAGATTGGGAGAGGCATGGATGGGGGAGGGGGTCTGGATTTGAATGGGAAATGCATGAAATTTTAAAAGCTCAATAAAAAGAAATCAAAACAAAAAAACAAAGTTTAAAACAAAAAAATAAATAATACTTTTAGAACAGTATTGCTCACCAATACTAAATTCTTAGTAAAGCCTTAGCAATTCAAATCCAACTACCTGTTAAAGAATGCATATGACAATCAGATACAGGATATTTTAACATTGGAAATCAATTAACTCATACTAATTTTTTTATAAATTTGATCACCTCATTAAAGATAGGAAAAAATTTTACAAATTTTGACACCCATTTATGATAAAAACTCAACAAACCACGAATAGAAGAAAACTGTCTCAGTTTGATAAAAATATAAGCAAGAAATAAGTATCTAAAATAATACAAAATGATGAAAGACTAAATAATGTACTTCTGAGAAGAGAAGCAAGGTCAGTATGAGCCCAGCTTTTGTTCAGCACTCTACAGAATGTCCTAACTAATGCAGTGAAGTTGAGAAAAAGAAACGTGTGTGCTGTGCTAACGCAGTGTGCTAACTTATGAAGACAGTGAATTAATTTGAAACAAAGTTAGTGTACAGCACTCAACTCTATGTATGTGAGCAATGAATAGTTGGAAAAATAAAACTTATTCGGGCGTGGTGGTGCACACCTGTAATCCCAGCACTTGGCAGAGGCAGGTGGATCTCTGCGAGATCGAAGCCAGCCTGGTCCACATAGTGAGTTCCAGGCTAGCTGAGGCTAGAGGGAGACCCTGCCTCAAAACAAAACAAAAAGGAAAAAAGAAGACAAAACTTTAAAACAGGGGTTTCAACAGTATGATTACATATGACTCTGTGTGTAGTTGAATGGCAGAGTACATACTTGGCATACATGAGGCGCTAGAATAAATGGAAGTGCCAGACAAAGCCTACAAGAAATGCAATGGGATCAAAACATGAAACATGCAGAAAGAAATCTTACCAAACAGTGGCAAAACTATACCAGGAAAGCTACAAAATATATTTGAGAGATCTTTCCTAAATATGCCTAAAAATGGAAAGCTATACCATGTTCAGGAACTGGAAAAATCAATATTGTTAAGACGTCAATTCTTCATAAGTTCATCTATGGACTGAACACATTCTTGATAAAAATCGCATGGAATGCTCTTTCAGTAATCAATAAACAAATGCTAAAAGTGATATGGAAATGTAAAGAATCTATTGTAGCAAAAAACAACTGAAGAAAACCGGAAGGACTTACGTTCGATCTGAAGATGTATTAACATTTTCACTAATAAAGACACTGTGCATTGACACCAAGTTAGATGTCTAATCAACTTAACATCAACACAATAAAAATTCCAGAAATAAATCCATATATATTTGAACAACTGATTTTCAAAGAAAGTATCAAGCTACAGTGCGAGTAAGAATAGGTTTTCAACAAATGTGTATCCTGGAACAACTGAAAATCCATACCCGAGTGATTTTGATCTTTATGTTATACTGTAAACAAAAGATAACAAAATATATAGACAACATGATTATACTCACTTTGAAATCTCAGCACCTTAAAATGGAAAAATGGAAAAAATTAATAGTAATGGTCCTAATTTAACAGTTTATACCAAAAGCATATTTAAATCTTACCTGAAACTTGTCTTCCTCAGATTTTTTCTGACTATATAATCTGTTGTAATGTTCTTGCAACTTCATATGAGTTTTTTTAAGTGATGATAACTCATTTTTAATCTCATTCATTTCTCCATTAAGTTCTTCAACCTAGTATAACATTTACTCAAATGAGCAAGCATCCAAATAGGCTTTATCTGAAAATATTGTTTTATAAAATAGCAAAAAGTAAAAGTAAAAACAAAATAACTACTCATATTAAGAAATAACATTTTTGAAATGGTGATGAGCACTTAAATATAACTGTACCTTCATACTCCATGAGATATCCCATGTCAATTTGGAAGTTACAAAAATTAAGTAATTTGACCAAGACTGTGGAGATAGAGTAGCAGTCAATACTGAAACCAAAATTAGATCAACGGCCTGTGCCCTTAAACACCTCTTTTTATAAATGAAATTATTTTTTACTTTTAGTTATAAAAATCCTATAAAGTTATACCTTCATTGTTTCCTTAGATTTTTATTGTTGCAATCTGGATGTCTAGATTTAAACTCAACTAGATGAAGAGTACAGAACACTTAGTGGCATAATAGAAAGTGGCACTTTGCTCTAGATTTATCACAACCCCCTTCCCAAGGTTCAGGGATCACTGTAGAAGAGGCAGTAGAAAGAGTTTAAGAGCTAGAGGTCAGGGAGGACCTGAGCAAAACTGTCTTCTGGACATGACAGAACCTCTGTACTCATGAGCTCACAGCACCTGTTTGCCTGCACAATATCTATACAGGATCAAAACCAGTCAGTATTCTAGCATTGAGTGGGAAGCAGTTCATGAGCTGAGGAGTTAAGGACAACTGATGGCTTCTGGGGGAGAGTCAGTTTTCTTTAAGGGTGTGGCCCCTGATAGGTTGACCACTCTCCAGTGGATGACCACACACCCAGGAGTAGATGGGCAGCACAAATTAAAGTCACTGGGTTATTAATTTTTTTTTAAATCAGGGTATGAAGTAAGCCAGGTGGCACACACTTTTATCCTAGCAGGAGGAGGCAAAGGCAGGTGAATCTCTGTGCAATGGGGGCCAGCCTGGTTTACATTTCAAATACCAGATCAGCTGGGGCTACAGAGGGACCCTGTCTCAAAAAAACAATAAAAAATGTGGCACTTTAGCCTCATACTTACATCTAGAAATAGATTTCTACATCACAGAAACAAGACAAGGTAAGTTCTGCTGAACAGAAAATTACCCTTCTTCATAGAAGAATACATTCAGTTGTCTCTTAAAATTGTAAACATCCATCATAAATGTCACAAATGTGTATAATATACTTTATAAAGACAAGCAGGTGTGAACTAATGTTTTCTCTTCATCTATTTTAGCCATCTCTTAATCTATTTCTACAGGATGCATCTTTTCCAAGACTAAACCCCCATGTGCTTCTTACTTCCTTTCCTGTCTCCCTTAGTTCTGGTTCTGACTCTTTTCCTAATTTCACTCTCTCATAATATCCCAGCACTTCCTCCCAGTCCATAGATATCCTTTATTCACATTAACTTTCCTCTTTTATCCACTTAGCATCTCTTTTTCCTCTCTCTTTCCCTCCTCCCCTCTCCTTAAATAATCCATTTGCTTCTTTCATACTCTAAGTCTCCATTCTTCCCAACAACCTGGCTTGTGCCATCATTGTTTTATTAACTATTTTCTTAAATAGTACCCATATATTGAAAAATAATTTTTACACATCTCATACAATTTAAAATCTCTGTAGCGTTTATGTTGACAACTATTGTTTTGTTGTTGTTGTTGTTGTTGTTGTTGTTTGTTTTGGTTGTTTTTGAGACAGGGTCTCATGTAGCCCAGGTTGACCTTGAACTAGAAATGTAGCCAAGGATGGATGACCTTGGATCTCTGAATCTAATTGCCTCCATGTCCTCAGTTCTGGGCTTGAACCATCACCTCTGGTTTTATGCGGTGCTGGTGACTAAACCCATAAATTGTACACTCTAGCAAGCACCCTATCGTAAACTGAGCTACCCCGGCTATATTACTAAACATCCTCTTTTGACTTCCAACTCTATCCTCCTGCCTTTCCCACTATTCCTATGGCGTCCTCCTCTCCTGGCACACACACACCCAACTCAAGTGTTGCCATTCCCAAGGTTCTTAGCAATCTTCTCTTCAAGCTTTCCACTCCTATATACTCTTATTTAACATACAACTTCAAATTTCACTTTTCTACTAGTAAATCTTAAATCTATGTTTCCTCCCCAGCTTCTCCCCTAAGAGCTTATCTCAACCTGTTTTCTGTATTCTGCATGCCCTATTTCCTACTCAAAGCAGGCCATTCATCAATTTTGAAAACACAGTGTTATGCCTCCATGGCTTTTCCTATTTTTAAAAAATGGATTGCCAGCAGTATGGAATAGGAATGGTAAAGACTAGGGACCTTCTGTTTGGTGAAATCCTACTCAAATTTCAAGGCTAAACTTGTATCATCTTTTTTCTAAAATTCTATGTTTGGTTTTCATAGTACTTTGTCAATAATACTGAAATTCATATTTTACTGCTGTAGTCAATTCTATATTCACTGACCCTTTCAGTGTGTGAGCTCTTTGCATTCTTCGTACTTAATAGGCATCTTTAAAAATCCACTGCCAGGCACAAGCCTGTAATCCCAGTTCTTGGAGGCTGAAGCAGGAAGACCACAAGATTGAGGTTAGCCTATGAAATACAGCAAACTGGAGGCCAGGGTGGATACACAGCAAGATCATGCCTCAAAAATATTTTTTAAAAAACTATCCACTGCCTAGAGTAGTGCTTAACACATACACTATGCTCAATCAGTGTTGTGATTATTTCTTTTGTAATTTGATTTTCCTTAAATAATTTCTGATCATCCTCATTTACTGTCTTTTCATTGAGATATATCCATAGCTACTGATTATATAATTAATCAAATTTAAACCCTATCCTTGAAACTATCTTTTGAATTTTAAATATATTATGTAATTATAAGCACATGTTAATACTATTTCCCTTTCAGAGTATTTTTAAGTGATAAAGTATAAACTGCAGTTTATATGATACTAACATTCTGTTTCTTTGTTTTTTTGAGACAGGATCTCCCAGTAGCCCCAGCTGGCCTGGAACTCACTATGTGGACCAGGTTGGCCCCAATCCTCAGTCTCACAGAGATCCACCTGCCTCTGCCTCCTGAGTGCTGGCACTAAAGGTGTACACCACCACACCCCACCCCTAACTTATTTGAGGGCTGGAGAGATGATGTAGCTGTTAAGAGCACTGGCTGTTTTTGCAGAGCACCTGGGTTCACTTCCCAGCACCCACACAGCAGCTAACAACCATCTATAACTCCAGTTCCACAGGATCAGACACCTTCTTCTGGACTCTACAGGCATTGCAATGACGTGGGTGAACTCACATACATGTAGGCAAAACACTCATACACATCACATAAAATAAAATGAATCAAAAAATTTAAGAGTGGTTAAAGCCAGAGTTTTGCATAGTCTAGATTCAGACAACTATATTATTTTTAAAAGAATTGAAAAGGTAATGAAAATAGATATTAAGATAGAATAATCAATTTTGCGATCAGTCTTGAAAATGAATTTTTACGTTTTGCAACTTGAATTTACATTATTTTATACTACTGTTTTATCTACTTAATCGAAATTAACATTTAGTGTAAAATAAACAAATGTGGCTGAAAGAAGTGCCTATGTTTACAACATACCATCTCATAATAAAATGTTAGTCTGCAGAATTCAACCATTGCATCTGTGTTCTACACATGGCTCTGACACATCTCAACAATACTACTGAGGAAAGCAAATGGATCATCTAACAATGGTGCACAGAATTCTAATTCAATAGAATACACTGAGGAAACCATTTTGTAAAAAATTACATTAATTCTTCTTTGTCACATATTAAAAGCCATTCAATACATTCATATATGCCTTATATATGTACATAAACATATTTACATATTGCCTTCCATATATGACATTACAGAGAATTTTATTAAATTTAGCTTTAAAAACACTCACTTCTTTGGAATTAAAAGTGCAAAGAAAAAATGTGATTTTCTTATACCATTTTATAATATATTCATAGCATCTAATAGTAATTTTTAAATATCTATATGTGAAATAAACCTACATGTCTCTTCCAAGTTCCTAGTGCTTTCTTATGCTCATTTTGAAGATTAAGGAACTTTTCTTCATTTTCTTTTATCTTCTCCCTTTGTAGCTCATTATCTCTTTCAAGGGTCTGCAATAAAATTAATTATCCAAAAAATAATCAATACCACATTAATGAATTTTGATGTGTTTTATGTTGCTCAGACCTTTGCTTTGAACAAGCTGAAAATGCCATGCAGATCTGCGATAATGTGCTACCTCAACAATAATTTTCATAAATTAATAGAAAGGTGCTTATAGTTTAGCTAACAGAAAATAGGGGGAGGCTATGATAAAGAAATGGCTATAAAAGGGTATAAAAACATTGCCATTATTCAGTTTCACTGCATAAGTTTTAATGTACTGATAAAGTAATATAAAGTCCAGGACTGAAAAGCATGAAATGTAGCACAATCCAGCCCGACCTATGAAAGATTTTAACTACCATAGGACATTTTTTATGTTTATTTTAGAAATTAACTAGCTAGAAAAATCTAAAGTATAATTTTAATTTTCAATTAATACTTTTATCATAATTTTACTATTTGCCAAATTAGCTTAATTACTTTATTGGATTAATGTAATAGAATCACTACCACTCTATCCCACTCCACCCCCATAAAACACTAAAAAATTACTAGCAAGCATTTCCTAAGACTAAGACTTTGGAGCTATGAAACTAGTATCACTAATTTATTAGATATTTTGTTGTCTGCTTGTAATTCTGAAAAATAGTATCTACATGTCTAATACATCTAAAATTTTAGGTTTATTTATTTATTATTAAAGCTATGTACACTCAGGCAAAAATTTCAAGCCACACAAAATAATATGAAAAGAAAAGGTGAAAGTATACACTATCACTTTTTTTCTTCAAAAGCAGTGACTTTAGAAGTTTGTATAATTACAGAGATTACCTATAAGCAAAAAAGCATATAAAGTATATCTTTTACATATAGATGAGAACATTATCATACACATTCGCTCTTTTATAATCTTCTTTTAAAGAAAAGATAATATCTCTTGCTTACTTTCCATAGTACTAAATATAAATTAATCTCATTTTAAAGGCTTAAGAACATTCTATTTAAAGAGTTCTCAATCATATCTAGAATAGCAATATTTAAATATGTAACTGTGAAATTATACCAACAAGTCTAATAAAAGTGTATTTTGTAACTTGTAATATGAGTATTCTCTACTGTCTTAGGAGCTATGCACTTTGAAAGTACCCAAATAAATATCTATTTTAATTGCTTCGGTTTCAGGAGAATGTAAACATTCTTACACAATACATATTTCCTGTATTTATAGTTCCATATAATAAGTGGACAGTTTCTAAATAGCTACAGTGATATATATTAATAGATTTGTTAGTATTTTAACATTCTAACAAATCTTTTGCAGTATCCCTTTATATGGACAACATATGCTATTTTATTTTTTATTTTTATGGTTTGTTTGTTTGTTTGAGATAGGGTCTCTCTGTAGCCCTGTCTGGAACTCATTATGCAGACCAGGCTGACCTGGATCTCAGAAAGGTCACCTGTCTCTGTCTCCTGCATGTTGGGATTAAAGGTATGCACCACCATACCCAGCTAACACACTCTAGGAGATAGATTAATGTTTAGGAAAGAGATAGAACACATCACAGTCTCTATTCTACTAACGTAAATGATCAACAGTATTATGTTCTTAACATACTGTAGTAGATATATCAATCATTTCCTGTTCTGACCCATACCCCATTGGAAATAGATTGCCTCCTTCAGGTCTTCCCTGTTTCAGTTTTTGGAGACATTCCATCCTTCCATACAACTACTCTTCTCATTTGGCTGCACAAATCAAGTTATCAATGAGGACTGCGTTCTTTTCTGCAGTCTCCCATTTCCTAGATCCTTTAGTTTCCTCTTTCTTGCTTTACTTCCTTTTCTTGACAGATCATACTGTTACTTCCTGATAAAGCACGCATAGATGGTAAATATTTCTGAGGCCCTGCATGTGTACTGATGAATGGCAATTCAATTAGCTGAGTACAGCACAACTCCGCTTTGGAGATCAGTATCTTCCCAACCTCTGCAGATATAATCCTATTTTCTTCTACCCTCCAGTGTTGCCACTGAGAAGTCTCAGGCCAATGTTTTGTCATTCTCATTCTATGTCATACTTTCCTACAGAGTTTTAGAATCATATTTAATGTAAAAATTTACAATAATATACATTGATATTGGGCAAAACAAACTCATATCCCTCAGGCCTGTGGAATGTTTTTGTATTTTCTTTGATCATTCTTTCTCCCTCCATTTTCTCTGTTCTCACTCGCTCTCTCTCTGAAAATTACCAGATTCCTTGAACTGGCTTCCTGAATTCTCCTTCTCTTGTTTTCCATCTTCTTGCTTTGTGTGTGTGTGTGTGTGTGTGTGTGTGTGTGTGTGTGTGCGTGCGTGTGCAGGTGCACATCTGTGTGCATGTGTGGGAAGCCAGATAATGCTCCTCGGGAGCTATCCAGCTTGTTTTTTTTTTTTTTTTTTTTTTTTTTTTTTTTTTTTTTTTTTTTTGAGATGGCATCTCTCACTGAACTGGAGTTTGCCAACTGGGTAGAGTGGCTGGCTAGGCAGTTCCAGGGATCTGCCCATCTCTACCTCCCCAGCACTGGGAAGCACATACTGCCACACCTGGCCTTTTATGTGGGTACTGGGGATCAAACTCAGGTCCTCATGCTTGTATGGCAAGCACTTTACCAACTGAGCTACCTCTGCAGTCTCATCTTTTTTGTCTTTTTATTCTACTTTCTAAAAGACTATCTAGGGGCTGGAGAGATGGCTCAGCAGTTAAGAGCACTGACTGCTCTTGCAGAGGAGCTGGGTTCAATTCCCAGCACCCACATGGTGACTATGAACCGTCCTTAACTCCAGTTCCAAGGGAATCCAAAGCCCTCTTCTGATCTCTGCAGCATTGCATGACACAGGTGCACTCATATACATGCAGGCAGTACACTCTTACACATAAAATAAAAATAAACAAAATATTTTTTAAAAAGACTATCTAAACATTATCTTCCAAACTTTCCTTTACACTTTTTATGTTTAATGTGTTCTGTATTACTTTATGTATTGTGGATTAATATGTATATTTCTCTTAAGTATTCTTAGTCTTAGATGGTTTGTTAATTACTGTCTTCTGTCTGGTTTTTATATGGGAGACTTTCTTCAAATGTCCAGTGATCCTTAACAATCTGTTCATATTTAAGAATGAAGTATTAAAGAGCTGGTCAAAATTTTTGCCAAATGCTAGATTTCACTGTAGGAAAACCTGGCTGAGCTATTTTACTTGGAGCGCATATCTCAAGCAACTATGGTCTTTCCTCTTGGGCAGTGTTCTAGCTTGTTTCTCTATTGCTGTGACAAAACACTCTGACCACTACCACCCTGGAGAGGAGAGGGTATATTCAACTTACATCTCCCGGGTCATGGTTCATCAGGGAGCCCAAGGTAGAAACTCAGGGCAGGAACCTGGAGGCAGGAGCTGGAGCACAGGCCATGGAGGAACTGCTTACTGGCTTGCTCTCCTGGCCCCTGCTCAGATTGCTTTCTTATGCAACACAGGCCCACCTGCCCAGGAGTGGCACCACCCACAGTGGGCTGGGCCCTCTGACATCACTCAACAGTCAAGAAGATGCCCCACAGACATGGCCACAGGCCAGTCCAATGAAGGCAATTCCCCAATTGAGGCTCCCTCAACCCAGGTGTGTCAAGTTGACACTAAAGCTATCCAGCACAGGCAGGTTAGTTTCCCCAGAAAGGAATCTTCTATTCTCTTTCCTGGGAATCAGTATAGCTGTCCTTTAACTGGAGAAACTATACTGGGGGGAGGGGGCTCATACAATGTTTAGACTTTTGACCCAATTTTCAATATATTTCCAGTAGTGCACTAATAAAAAGCAGAGAGGGAGGAAAGGAAGAAAGGATGGAAGAAAGGAAGGAGGAAAGGAGAAAGGGAGGAAGGGAGGGAGAGAAGAAAGGAGAGAGGGAGGGAGAGGGGGAATGAAAGACAAAAGAAGGCAGGAAAGAAGAGAGAGGGAGAAATACTGAGATTAATTTGCAGTTTTTGCCATTTCTAGTGAATGATTAACTTCAGACCACTACTGTTTTAACAACCAGTTCTCAAACTACAAGCTAGCTCTAGCATACTACTAGATTCTTCTCACCCTCAACTATCTCTCAAATTCCAAGCATAAACCCTCAATCTTCTTCCAAATCAGACAGAAGAGGTGCCTGTGGGGTGGGGGTGGGGAGGAATCTGGGTTTGCAATGGCTTCTTACATAGATCTAGTCTGAATCTTTCAGCTGCATACCCCAATTCAAGAGGCACATGGTATTACATTCATGATCTGGGTTTTGTTTTGTTTCCTTGGTGGTGCTGGAGATCGAATCCAGTGTCTCACAAATGCTGGGCAAGAATGCTACCACTCAACCACATTTTGGGCCCCATTTCTGCACCTTTGAATTGGGCTTTTATTTGCTAAATGAATTGCCAATTGTCCACCTGGTTCTCACTTTTAAAACTTAAATTTTGCTATTTCTTCCCCCATTTCCAAGTCCTTATGGATATGTTCTCGTTTTAGAGCAGTTTCAGAAGGAGGTAGAAATGAATGTGGATTCAGTTCAATATGTTTAGCCAGAAACCCTAACCAAGTAATCTCTGAGTCTACATTCATTCTCTGTACATCATTCATTATATTTAATAAAGGGTAACAAGGCCTTACTTGTGCTTGACACTCTCTTATGTTCCTTCAGTAGCAATGCTGCTGTTTTTGTAAAGTTTATTCTATCAGGAAACCATTTACTGTTATTTCCAACTGAATTACCAAATCTGAAAACTATCTTTGGGGCAAAAAGGATTACCATCAGAGGTCAAAATGAAACCATTTGCTAAATGCTTTAATCTTGAAAAAACTAGTAAATTGGCCTAGTTAATACATTAATAATACAGTAGCTACAGGAATAAAATATGAAAATTATTCAACATCATGGCTATAGGAACATAGCTATACTTATAACTAGAATTTAGGTCTCTATGATCTTTCTAAAATTTACTGCTAAAAAAGTAAGACAGATGACAGTATAATTGCAGAGCAATGAAAAACAGTTGGCCATTATCAGAGTAATGATCCTTTTTAGTACAGGTGGAATTAGAATGCTCCTCAAGAAAACACTTGTCATGTCTATGCGGCATTATCCCTAGCAATCTTTCAACATTAATATTTTGTTATGCTATATATCAGTGGTTCTCAGACATCACTCTATAGCTAAGTACTGATCCATGACAAAGTTCCACTAGTCAATGGCAAAAATGTCATTACATGACTTTTCTTATAATGAACTATCCTTTACTCTGAGATTATGTTTTGATATACTTTTATGTTAAAAAGTTCTGTTTTATTAAATGACAATGGTGATGGGTGGTAATGTTTGGACTTTTAGTGTCCTTACTTGACAATACTTTAAAAAACTTACTCTGAAATCTAGCTTTTCTATATTGTATCAAGAGATAATTAATTACCTGATTTATAAAGAAAAGGTATTTGAATATCTATCATATTGGCAGATCCCATGGTAGTACTTATAGACATGGTTAGTAGTACCTCAGAGCAAAACATAACTATATACTGATGACCACTGCAGACACCACAGAATCCAACAATGCATAAATGTTGGACTTGGAAGTTGCAAAAGGCAAGTTGAGAGTTGGGGTTTTAGTACAACTTATCTAATAAACTTAACAGCTTTCATACATCTAGGAAAAATATGTTAAGCACTTAATATCCTAGAAATAGTGCTAGATTAGAACCAAGGCAAAGATATAAGGCTTTTGCCACAATTTATAAGGCCCTACAACAATGCTTACATTTTCTGGGTCTCTATTCATCATGAACTAAATTAATGAACCTTTACTATTTTGTTCACCCCCAAAACTATGTTTCAACTCCTTTACATTGATTACAGGATGCTCTTGATAACAGCTACTCATAATGAATCTGGGCAGACATGGTTGTGCATGCATGTAATTCTAACACTCTACAGGCCGAGGCAGGCTTAGGCTACAAAGTGAAACCATGTTTCCACAAAATATTTTGGGTATATCATGTACCTCTTGAAAGAAGGTTAAATATATTAGAGATTAGAGAAGTAGTCCTAGTTACCTAAATATATAGTGGGGAAGGGGAGTATGAAGAGGCTCTTGCTTGTAACTGGACTTTCAGAGACTTTATACTAGTCTTTTACTAGAACAAATGAAGAGATTAAGGGGAGCAAGTGGCTTGAGTCTAGCAATCCACCTCTCTCTCCCTCTCTACCTTTGGTAGTTTAACTCCTACAATACTGAAGGCAGGAAGAAGATTTTATACAACAAGACAGGACATCAACCAATGATGAGGAGGTAATTGCATTGCTCAGCTTAAATTTGGTTCCATTCAATGACTATGAACTAGTATAATTTGTGTGGCCTGGTAAAAAGTGAAATAGGCAGAAGAAAACTTCTACTAAAGGTATTAAAATATCTAATTTTTCTTTGTCTTTGTGTTTCTGCTGTTCTGTGTCATACAACATCTTTTAAGGGCATGGTTCACCGGACAGGAAAAAAACTCACAGAAGAAATGCAGTCCCTCACAGGTGCCTAAGGGCCTCATGACAACTTGGTATGAGATCCACGAGCTACCATGTTCCCCCTTTTCTTGCCAGCTGATTCACCCATATACCCATTCTAGCTAAAATATGTAGACCAATTTTTCCTCCCTTTGGGCCCTCCACCGGAACCCAAGGCAGATGAGTGACTGCTGAGAGAATGCATTGCTAGGGAGGGATGCACTCAGTACTGGACTTGGGACTCACCCTGTCCAAGCTAAGATGCTACCAACCTGGAATAAGGAACGTTGTTGTCCTGCCTCCCCCCAAAATGCTGCAAAGTACATGTACCCAACCCAAATCTCCCCTGCCTGTACCTAGACACTCACCAAGAAGTTAATGTCAAAACATAACACGGGCCTTTCCATGCAAATGTGACCCTGTTAACCTGCAGCACTGACAGAAAAGGAGGAGGGAGAAGATCAGGCAAGGACCAGGGTATCAGAAGGTAGAAGAGCTAATAACCAAGAACCAAGACTGGGAGGCAATAGAAAAAGAAAATGCCTGATGAGGCTGGAAGCCTCTAGCACATGCTTCAGTGTTCCATCAGACTTAATACACAAAACATAAATTCAAAAAAAATAAAAATTCATTAAAAACTTCAAGAAAATGAGTCAAAAATTAAACTGATGGAAGGCACTTCTCAGTGTTGTCCCTATGCAATCACTCTAATTACTTTCTTCTTTAATTTTCAAAAATATTTTATTTTTATTTTACATGCATGAGTGTTGTGCTTGCATGTATGTAAGGGCATCATTTGCATGTCTGGTATCCATGGAAGCCAGAAGAGGGTATTGGAACCTGTGAGACTACAGTTAAGGGCTGGTGTTAGTCACACATGGGGTGCTGGGATCTGAACCCTGATACTCTGGAAGAGCAATAAGTGCTCTTAATCACTAAGTCATCTCTCCAGCCCCTCTACTTACTTTCTTATGAAGTTTGCCCTAGCTTCTACTGATGATGATCCCTACATGGGAGATGGCTATAGGTTTCATGGGAAATATTTCAAGTTACTTTATTTCCTTTGCTACCCAAAGAACCCCTACAGAAAGGTCACCCCATCTGAATATGCCCCAGTTCCTTGTGAGATGGATCAGATGGCCATCCCATCACTTGGCCAAGTTGCACCCAGTGAAGTTCCTGCCCCTCCACTCACCCCCATGTTCCTTCATGTGGAATTCAGAACCAACGAGACAGCATAACACATCAAGCCTCTCAGACACAGATTATTCCCAAAATTTTCAAACCCTGAAACTTCTAGATCAGATATGGGCATCACCCTTTATGTTCTTAATAAATTTCCAAACTTCATGACACATATGCCATGCTCCTACACATGAATTTACTGCACTTTACTCTATGGACAACACCAGAGAGAACCTTCTGTTAGCTACCGTATCTCAAGCCTCCATCCAATAAACAAGGTTGCAGCTTTCCCTTCTTGTACCTGAGTCTTTACAATGGATTTTTTCTTGTAGATTCCCTCATTTAGCTTGATCTTCCCCAACTAGGGAGGTAAGAGAAAAGCCACTCTTTTCAAATTGTGAACTCCAACATATTAACAAGAATAATTTTTCCTCTTTCCCAATCATTTCCTACATACACTGTGAAGAGGATGTTAGAATGTTGCTGTTAACAGTGCTAGTTCTGTCATATTCCTGTGATGAGAGATATGCCCCAAGGTTCTAAGAACTGGTTCTTTTAAAATGTGGTGGACACCTTTTCCCTTTCATCTTAAGCTTTGAACCTTGGCTATAATTCTAAGATAAAGAAAAATTCCACTTATCTCATTACAAAATGAAGTCAGATGCTCAATAAAATTTAACATTGAACTAGTTACTTTAGCTACTTACATTCTTAAAACAGCATATTTCATTGCTTTAACACCAATGTTGAAAACTGGTGAAAGAATCTAGTATCTGACCCTTAGAACTCAAAATGATCTTGATAAAACATGACACATAAGTGCAACTAAACAGAAGCTCATTAAATTGAAATATACTGAAATAATATATATATAACCTGATTGTTTTCTCTTAACATCTTCAATTCTGCATTAATTTCAGTATTAGCTTGAGTTTGTTCCTGAAGTAATTGCTGCATATGTTGAAAAGAAATGAGGATATCCTTCAAAAACAAAAAATGATATACCATGTTTCTGAGTTCATTTTTCAAATACAATTTCTAATTTTAGCTTTATGGGCTACTTTTAGTTCTTTATATTAAAATAATAGTATTTCTATAATTTATTATAGAAATAATTTCTATTACATAAATTTCTACAAAGTACTATTTCCAAAAATGTCCATCATTAAATTTTTGTAATGAGCCATAGATTCTAGGAACAATGTGAAGAATTCAAAACTGAAATAAACTTGTTGGCTTACTCATCCACAAATAGGAAATATTATCTCTATGAAAATGTCACATGAGCTATAAAATGCCATCATAGACTAAGATGTCACAAATCAAATGGAGGAAGAACAAGAGATAAATGAAAAGGACTAATCTCAAATCTATCTTTAAATAGAAAAATAGATTCAGATAGATTCAAACGAGGGACTGTCCAAAAAAACATGCACGGTATATAAATACATTTTCAGTAATTATCTGACGAGGTAGCTATGGTCTAAACAAAGAAAAAAGACTTTTAAAAATGGAAATGCATGCTGGGTGTGATGGCATACACCTTTGATCCCAGTACTTGGGAGGCAGAGGCAGGTGGATCTCTATGAGATCAAGGCCAGCCTGATCTACATAACGAGTTCCAGGCTGACTAGGGCTACAGGGAGACCCCATCTTAAAAAGCAAACAAAAAGTGAATATAGCCAGATGTGATAGCTTGCGCCTGTAAGCCCAACACTTGGGAGACTGTACCCATGAGTGTTGGCCAGCATGAGTTATGTAGTAGGTTCCAGACCAGCCTGTGCTAAGAGTGAGACACTAACACAAAAACTGAGGCTGGAGAAATGGCTCAGCAGTTAACATCACTTGCTATATAATCATGAGGATCAGAGTTTGGATTTCAACATCCCATTGTAAGGCAGGCATGCTACAAACATCTATAACTCCAGATCCAAGGGCTCTGAAGCCTTCTTCTGGCCTCTATATGTACAGATACACACACCTGCATACACACATGTGTATACACTCACGTAGACAAACATACACAAAAATACATTTTTTTAAAAAATCTCAAAACTAAAACAAAAAAATTTATAAAATAAAACCAGGAGTATATATTTGACTGGTTAAAAACATAAGCATATCTCCATTCAACACACATTAACGGAATGCCTAACTCTATGCTAAACACTGACCTAGATAAACATGGTTCCTTGTCTAGTTCCTACACTATAAATGGATTTTAAAATACTTACTAACTTCCAAAATATCTGATGATTGCTTACCTGTTTTCCTTCTTGAAGATAGGTAATCTCTTCATTAATCTTCTTATTTAATTCCAATTCCTTCAAAATTGAACAATTTTTAAATTATAACATAAAATTCAGTAAATTTTATATTCAACACAGTATCCATGTCCATGTTGAAACTGGCTCCACTGAATTGGAGAAAATACTAGAACCCAATGTAGGCTAGTTCAAAAATAGATATTAAAATTACAAATTTTAGGGCTGGAGAGATGGATCAGTGGTTAAAAGCAATGACTGCTCTTGCAGAGGACCGGGTTCAATTCCCAGCACCCACATGATGGCTACGAACCGTCCTTAACTCCAGTTCCAGGGGAATCCAAAACTCTCTTCTGACCTCTGCAGCACTGCATGACACAGGTGCACTCACATACATGCAGCCAATACACTCATACACATGAAATGAAAATAATAAAGTATTTTAAAATTACAAAATTTCTTATCTCCAAAATTTAAAAACATCATTATTCCACAAGATTACCTAAGACCATATTTAAGTAGAAATAAAATATTATAGCCAATTTTGCTGTTCTAAGATCTTCCTAATGGCAAGAAAGTTCTAATAATTTCAAAAACAAATTCATATCTAAAT